TATGTCTTTTTGGTTTAAAAGAAAGAGTAAATGCTCCACATAGCTTGTTGGTAGACTTTATTTTGGTTTATATATTGGTTGGAAGGAGCTATGCTCATCATTTATACCATTATCTGTAGAAATTTCTGTTATAGAATTTTTGGGAGATCCTAATTACAAGGGAGGCTCTACTAAAATTTTTATACAAATGTCGACACTTTCTTATGACAATTAGCTCAAAAATATATATATATTATTTTAATTCTCATGTAATTTGATTAATTTTTTTCTTTTCTTTTGTAAAAATGGAATAAATTTTCATTCTGAGGCTTACAGGGATATGTGAGTGGTTCACACCTATGTCAGTCACCCTCTATTTTTAGGGCATGACAATAATCTTATGTATGCCTATACAATGAATATTTACATGCTATGAGAAATTGCATTTTAATGCATTGCTTGATTATGAGAGAGGGGAATTCACCTAGGAAGAGGAGTAGTGAGTTTAGAATCCACATGGTAAAGCTAACATTGGAGCTCAATAATTTGCTTACATTTATTTATATTTATTGTCTCACTTGTTGACGAGAGATTGTGTCACTTGTTCTATGAGGGACTCGAACTTAATTAGTTTTTCATTTGTTTGATGAGAAAGTTAGTTTAGGAAGAATGACATCCTGTTGTGTGAGATTTAGGAAAAATTGTGATCCACAAGTAAGTTAGGCAATCTTGGTCGGGTAGCTCCTCACACATGAAATCATGAATGGCTAGGGTAGTCTCATTTCATAAACGGTCCCAATGCGTTATAGCCCACGATTTAGAGTTAGAGATATAAGGAGGATATAAGGAAAGTATGATCATTCATATTATGAGATAAAAAGCACATGGTTGTCTGTATTTTAACCCTCATAATGAAAACGTGTGATTATTGGTATAACAATGTGAAAATGACTTGTTCTGCTCTCACTACAATTAAATGCTTGTAATGATGTAAAATGCGATTATGCACTTGAACATGTTAAATTTACATGTGTATAATAATGATTTGTCACTTGTATTTAAATTAATTGACATGTATTAGTATAAGTTAGAGATACCTTAGTTACTGAATAGTTATACTTACTCCTTTATCTTCAATATTATAGGAGCTAGCTCATCGAGACAGGATTGAGGGAAACAATTCGAGGCATATGATTATTATCCTATATGTAGGCCTTATTTTAAATTTGGTTATTATGTGTATAATTTTGCATGATATTGCCAACTAAAAAGATACATGTTATTGGTTTACTTGTACTATTAGATTATTGAATTAAAATTATGTATTTTAGGCCCTAAGATATATGAGTATTGATTGTGAAAGTTAAAATAGGGTCAAAATACTAATGCAAATAAGAAGTGAAATTGTGATTGTTGTGGAGCGATATGATGATTTGTAAATTTAAGGCTCCCCTCTTTGCTTTTATAATTAAAGGGTTGAGTATTGAAAATATATTATATATGATGTTTATAAGATGTGGTATATTGTACATGTCCATAATAGTCTATTAAGTGTGATTAGGGTTGTATATTAGGCTTTTGGCACTTAAAATGTGAATTAAGCACCCAAGTTGTGTAAATAGATTGAAAAGGAACGAGTTTTGAAATGGGCGTCTAACTTTTGATTGGAAAATGATATGATTATAAAATTAGTGACATTAGCTAGAGTTAAAAGAAAGCTCTCTATGAACAATAGAATGCCTCAACCAGATATCGAACGAAGAAATAGGATGCAATGAAATTTTACCCCTATTGCTGTGCTATTGTCAAAAACGTGTAATGTGCCACAACACATAATACAGAGACAAATGGGCCACAATGTACATCTACTTTCCTACACTGTTTTGATGTTTCCACATATTATGTAAATATTTTAACTCATGAAAGATCTCGTGTTTCCACATATATCTATAACTCTGATTTTGTAATAGAAAAGGCATATTAGAGTGTTTTAAATTTTAAAAACTTGAAATCCTATTTTAATAAATGTCATAAACTTGATAATCTTATTTGAAGTTAATCCCGTAATTACCTTAAATTTAGAGTTAATTGGATAATAATAAGGAAAACCTTACAAGCAACTATATCTAAATAACTATCCCAATGCTATGAAGATAAAGAACTTTCATCTATAAATTCTAATAAATGGCCTATCCTACATTATTAAATTATTGCCACATAATCATTGCTCTATATTACACAACTGAATATTCAATATAAACAAGTCAATGTTTATGTAAGTCAATGTTTATGTTTTCATATCACATAATCTAATGTTTCTAGATATGGCATTTTCATCATATTGGACAAGTGATGAATTCCTCAATTCACATGTGAAAATTCAATATAAACAAGTAAATAATCATAATTTTACAACAAATATTTCAATCCAAAATTTCCACAACCAACTTGCAATATCAAATGACAACAAAATGTTCAATTTCAACACAGTTACATTGCATTTTGTACAACAAAGTATGCATTTCATATACACCTTACTATCCCATATAAAACTTACATGTAAAATCTTGGTGCAATTTACAATAGGACATCTGTAAATAACATTAAAAAGTTCATACATTAACAACACAAGGTCTGTAGCTTATACATTGTTCATTTGGTTTAGTAAAACTAAAATGTACTAGTTATCATAGTGAAAGTTACAACAGGACATTCGTAAATAAGATGACAGGGTCCATATTTTAACAATACAAAGTATGTCTAATAAGCTTATTGTCCAAGGTCAAGTGTAAACCATGATCTTGTTTTTGAACACAATACCAAGCAGCTTTAGGTCGTTGTTCAGTCGCAAGTCTGAGCAAGAAAGAGAGATTAAGGTTTTTCAGCTTCTTATTTCTCTTAATCACCTCTTCATCAACTTCAAGAATATCTGATTGGCCATTCATCTCATCTCCAACTTCTAGAGTCTACTTTCTCATTCTCCAAATTCCCATCATTCCTAGCCAAAGCACCGAGTTCCAACTTTGAAAGGTCCTTCTTGAAAAATGCCCCAACTCTTAGAGACCCATGCTCGCAATTCCAAAGTCAAACCCATTATTTACACGATTAGATAGAATCAAAAGCACATAGAAGGGAGAGCAAAGAAGAAGAAGAGAGGGAAGAAATTGAGTCAGCATCAAAAGAAAAAAGAGAAGGAAGAGCCATGGAGAAGAAGAGAGAGGGAAGAAAATGAGAGGAGTAGTTGGGTCTTTGCACCCTAATACATATTAATAAAGGCATTCTCCCAAATAAACAATACCTCTCATAATGACTAGACTTTCAAAAATGTCACTATTAACAAGTCAGTGCAAGAAATAATAGAGTTTATATAAAAAATGATAAAAAAATGATTTTAAAATTGATGAACAATAATTTAAAAAATAGCTTTCTCTAGTTGTAGAAATAAAAAAATGGATCTCTGATAATTTACGTGCCATAAAAAAGAAAGTGGATAAATTTTTGTTTAATAAATAATAAGATTTAAAACAGTATTATTTTCTAATATTTATAAAAATTTTGGTTGTATTATGACATTATTATTTTTCTATTATTCTAAATTTTATATTTAATTTAATAAACATTAAAAATATTAATATTTATTGTAAGCATAAATTTTGTCACCACTTATTATTTTTCTGGGTTTGTCCTCCTGCACCGTGCTCATTAAAAGTGTAAAAGAAGTTTTTTTATTTTCTTAAAGAGGACTTTATTTTTGTGAGTAACAATACTCAATAATAGTAAGTATTTTATTTTCATTTAGTGTTTTGAAGCCAAATCATTTTTTAAGTCTTTCTTACTTATTTTCTTGAATGGGACTGGTGAATATTTTATTTTCATTTGAACTTTTGAGATTGGATCTGTTTTATTTTCTAATTACACTTTCAGGAATAGTGTAGTGTTCCAAATATAAGCTTCGTATTTGCGGCCATTATCTAGCGTTTCGACTTTCAAGAATCATATTTGCTAATGATAAAGAATTAAACATAAAATGAAACAGAAAGTAACAAATGAAATGAACAAAGTGTAACAAGTTAGATACTTTCATGAAAATAAGGAACCTTTAATTCTAAGCAACTTTTTCAACTTTCAGTATAACTCTTTAACATCTAAACTAAAACATGAGAAAACATTTAGAACAAGAATTTCAAATTATTCCGTATAAAAAAATTCAAATGTAAATTAGGGAACATCCTTTTTAACAAAGTCCATGAATTCACATGTAAATTAGGGAACATCTTTTTCAACAAAGTATGAAGCCGCATGGACTTAGAGTTTTAAAATCGCATTGTTGTACATTCGCATTTATTCTTGCAAATTGGAATCCAGTCATATTTTACTTTGATACGTGATAATTCTATGAATCAAAAACTAGTTCCACAATTATTAAAAGGAACTTGCACCATCAAAGTTCAACTTGGATATTAATTATGTAATTTTTTAGTCTTAAAATTTTGTTTATGTCATGTTTTGGTAGCTCATCCAAACCCTCAACTAATCTCAAAAACTGAATAATAGAAAAAAAAAAATACCTTGTCCATTCCAACCAGCTTCTCTTTAAAAGGATCAATTTATTTCAACAAAAAAAGCATAAAATACCCCGAACACTCAGAACCCTTTCAACCCGGGTTCTCTGCCATCCCATGTAGTTTTGGTTTGGTGCGATGGAAGCCTCGCACAGATTAGGGAAGCCATTAGGCCAATCAAGCCATTAACTTGGTCGCGTTCAGGTCGTGGGATGAACGCAAGTATGAAAACTTAAACCTAACCATCCAAATTTACTTGTTTATCCTCCGATCATATCATTTCTCTTTCTAATCTCCCATTCCATACAACGATACAAGCATTTTTCATGCCTACAGCAACAGATTACCCAAATTTGGGGGGGGGGGGGGGGGGAGAATATGGACTATCCTTTTTATCATGCTGATGGTGGTGATATTATATGTGAAATGTTGGGTTTACGGAATAAGGGACTTTAACACTGCCTGAAGAAAGCCCAAGACCTTTTGGCTGACAACTACCTCAGATTACAAATCAAAAACGACATCCAAATGTAACAGAGCAACACATAGTAGTGGTAACTTGAGTAATTCATTTTTCCACGAACACCCGCGAAAATGTAATCAGGAATGCACTTAAAAATTCCACGCATATTGTCCAGAAAAATAAAAGAAAAAGTTCTACTCATGCCACCTGCGTCTCAAACTCTACCTGCTACAAATCAATATCTTCCCTGCAGAAAAATTCACAAAGAAAAGGGTCATATTTCCATCGCTTGAAATAGAGTAGACAACTTTTCCGATAGCACCAAGTACAGCGACCAAAGGAACGCCAATAACAGTTTCATAAATGTCTAATACACAAATAAATGTTAAATACCAAGCTTATCAATATTATTGGTCTTTACGAAAAGAGTTGTTCTCCTTTAGTAGGGACTCTCTGAGTGGGGAAATAATATGATCCTTGCCCGGTGTCAAAATGTAATAAACAATTCATGATCAATGCTAGTTTCTGTGGAAGTGGCTTACTTGTTCGGTGCCTGTTTGTCCAAAAGGTGCTTGGCTCCTCTGCTCTCCATATGCATTCCTTTGTTCCCCTGGCACAAATCTCTGACCTTCCCCTTGCCCTGAGAAATTTTGCCCATACCCCTGGTTTGTTCCTTGACCATACGTATTTGCTGTACCCTGATACCCAAGTCCTTGCCCATAATTTCCGCCCTGTGAAGGATCATAATTCCTATTATCCCCAGTAAAATTTCCCTGTCCAGGTGGATATCTTTGCTGAGAACCCTGTAGATTATAAGAGGGTTTATAACTCTCCATATATGATGGGCTGAAACTCTCTCCTTGCCCCTGGTAAGCACCAGCTCCACCATGCCTATTCATAGGATCTCTCCCTACTGCTTGTCCTGGTGGTCCGAAGTTAGGTTGTGGTGCATGTTGCGATGAAGCAGGACCATATGGTTGCTGTGGTGCTTGTGGTGAAGCAGGACCATATTGTTGCCGTGGTGGATATTGCTGTGAAGGAGGACCATAGCTTTGTCCTTGGGGATAACTCTGTGGTGCTGGACCAAAATTCTGCTGAGGTGATTGATTTTGTGAAGGTCCAAAGTTCCTTCCATCACCTTGCATGGGCCCCTGATAATTGTAAGGGCGATTCCCTGGTGGGTTTGACATCTGATCCCCTTGCTGATTATATCTAGGTTGATTATATCTAGGTTGGTCAGGATTTCTATTCCGGTCACGTCTTCCTTGATTCCTTGCATATTGTATTGGTGGAGGTCGAGGAATGATTGTTCCATTAATGTACTTGTCTCCTATTTATCACAGAAAACAAATTACTTTGGAAACATTTGTGCATTAAAAGACCGGCTTATTTTTCAACAAGTTTAAAACACGGCCAAATAATATGACAAGCTCAGCCAACAAAATATATTTAGCCTAAGTGAGTATATCCAGAAAAAAACCCTTACCTCCATATTCCTTGTTCACCGGATCAATATACGAATCTGGTAGCACAAAGATCACTCCAGGAAGACCTGTTAAAAAGAACCAAATCAAAATATCATTGAAATCAAAATATCATTTTCTACTTTCCTCCCCAACCCACCATAAAAGAAATAAGTATGAATACGTGACAACATTCAACACCTACCATTAAACTTTTCTGACTCTTCTTCAGTCATGACAGCCTGAAATCCTGTATAAGTAGTTGTGCTACAGGCATAAATCTTCTTTTTTGCCTCCTCCACACTAAACATTTATTTAAAACAATAAAAAAAGGAGAGAGGAAGTTTAAAAACAGTCCAAAAAAGAGATGATCCTATCACAAGATGACACCCCATGATGAAAGTATGAAACGGAATCCTGACGAATTCTTTGGAGAGTAATGAAGCATGAAATAAGAATCAAAATCACTAATTTAAACCAGTGCACTCTCAACCCAGAGCAAGGGTAACCAACAGCCAATTAATTGTGCAAATTTTAGAGAGTAAAAGACCAGTAAGAACCGCAGATGCTTCTAAACACACATTTTTGTTATTACAGCGTCAACATTAGTGCCTCCATAATAAGGAAAAGAAACCTGAAATTCATCACAAAAACACCAGAACAATTCCAGCCTAGTCAATTAGAAGTCATTTCAGACAATGAGTCAAGCACAAGCTACAAGGACTCAAGCCATCGTACACTTGGGAGACACCTTTCAGGCTACATTTATATCTGAGAGAACTTACAAACTAAAAAAAAAAAAAAAAACAGGATCAAAGTACATGTCATTAAGAAGACATTCTAACATTTTTCAAGTTTCTAGTAAACATGTGGTCAAAAATGTACTTAATTTTTGTCCAACTGAAAACCCCAAATTAAATTGTTTTGGTATAGTCATTCGGAGACATGAGAGAATATTCATTTTCCATAAAGTTATGTTACTTGTTAAGGTCATATTTACACAACCCACAGTGGTGTTAATGAAAGAGAAAAATAGAAACCTGATATTCAAACCCTTGGCACAAGTCTGCTCATAGGTCTCAACCATCTGCTGAGGGGTGGGCTTATTGTCCTTGGGGAAGTCCATGACAATAAGCCAGTGATTATAGTCACAACCTTCGAAAAGTATAGTATCGGGGCCGATCTCGTCGGAATTATTGGCGGACGGGGACCGAGCAGACAGAAGCGATATCGAAGAGGATCTGAATGCCCGGGAATGAACGAGAAGAGTCGGGGACTGCGATGGCGGTGATGCTGACGAAACGGCATGCCGAACTGGAAGGAATAGCGGAGGGGCGGAGACGGAAGAGGTTGCCGATAACGAGCGGTGGAGACCGGAGAGAGTTCTCAGGACACGCCGGAGATGAAGAGAGGAAGAAGCCATGGTTGACACAATGACGACGATGTGAGGGCTTTTGGACCCCCGAGGGTTTAAGCCTTGAGGAGCTTTCTAGAGAGGCGAGGATGAGTGAAGGGAGGTGAGAGAAAATGCCATTAAAAAAAATTTTTTTTTAACTGGGCCTTGAGTTACATCTTTTTTATTAAAAAATATAAAATATTTTTAATTAAATCTTATTTTTTAATAAAATAATTATTAATTTTTAAATTAATTTTATTTTTTATATTTATCTTTATTTAATAAAATATTTTATCTTCAAATAAATATAAATTGATTCATTTAATAAAAATAATTTTTAAAAAATTAATAATTAAATGTCTTATATTATTTAATATTTAAATTTTTAAAAATATTTTATATTTTGAAAAAAATAATTACTGGTCGGCTGAATTTAATTTACACATCTCTAATTTATCACTTAGGTTTAGTGTCATGGGGCTCGCATTTTTTGATAAATTAATTTTATAATTATTGGTTGTAGGGATCTTGAAAAACTAAAAACAAGTGAAAGTGATTGAGGAGAAGTAACGTCTTAAAAAATTTTGACAAAAAGAAATGTACGTGAACAGTTATGGAAATTAAATGTCATTGAAGTATTCAAAAAATATCCCAAACATGCTTTCATTGTTCTTAGCTTTACCTATAATAATATTGACTTGACCTTGAATTTAAGGAACAATGTAAATAATTTTCTCATTAATATTAAGACAAAAAATTAAAAAAAATTAATTAAAGATTATTAAAGAAAATTTATATCAATTAAGAATCAATAAATGTTAAAATTGCACTGCAATTCCTTAATCATTGACTGATGTCAATTTTTTATGTGACATAATCAAATTGCTCCTAAAGGTTAAAATTTAAAAACAAAAAAAGCTACCCCTTATTGTCATCGGCACTAGCTGCCAGAGCCCCTACCAACAGCGAGGTTGCTGAAGGTTGATCACTAAAACTCCAGCATTAGTGATGCTTTTAATGAAAAATAATAATTGGTAAATTAAAAGTGGCCAAAAGAAGGTTCAATCTTATAAACCTTTTGGCCACCTAAAAAGCTTCTAAACCTTATTAATTCCCCTTCCATGTGTTAATCTAAACTACTTTTATGTTAAAAGTGATTTAGATTAACAAAAAAATTTAATTAAAAGTGATTTAGATTAACAAAAAAATTTAATTATAGATACCAAAAAAAAATATTAGTAGTAATCTAAACTTCTAAACCACTTTCATGTTATAACATAATAATGTGTTATTAATTTATAAATGACACTTGTTATTTTATCAATGTTACTTGTAATTTTACATGAATAATTGTAAATTTAGAGTTTTAAAACTTCATGCATTTTATTTGTTAAAAATCCAAAAACAAAGTGATGCAAAACGGGGAAAGAGAATCTAGCAAAGAGATGAAAGCGATTAATAGAGAGAATAAAGAGAAGGAAAAACTCAAAGGAGAAGTAAGATAACAATAATTCTTATTCAATCAAATGTGCGTATAAATCAAATGAGTTAAGATGCTATTTATAGGTCTCAACCTAACTCTAAAAATAAATGCTTGAAAATCCTAGAAATTCTTAAATTAAATAAAAAGATAAAATAAATGAAAAAATAATAATAAATGTTGAAAGATAATAATAATTTAAATTAAAACAAAATATTCATAATTAATATGGGAGTAAATTATTTTTGATTTTCAAATCTACAATATTCTTGTAATATATTTACTAATCTCTTTTTACTTTCATTTCCATCACTTCCCCCCGACTCAAAAGAACTCTCCTTTAAAGAGGTATGGAGTTGGTAAGACTCGATCAAGGTGGGATCAAGCCGGTTAAACTCCTTTTTAGTAATCCAAGTAGGGTCTAAGTCTGAGAAGTCCTTCCAACAAACAAGGTAGTCGCAAACAAGACCATTGGTAGTTAATATAGTTTGCTCATCCATGATCATATCAATCTTATCCCTAGCGAGTAGAACATTTGGCAATAGAGGGATTGAAGTATTGTGAGATTGTGCACTTGCAAAACCATCACTAAACAGTAGAGGAGGCTCAAAAGTGCCTTAGTATAGGAAAAGATCCTCAATATTAAAAATTAAATTAATAGACATATCAAGAGGTAATTCAAGTAAATAAGCATTAGTACTAAGTTTCTTAAGAATGTAAAATGGCCCAAAGGCTCAGCATGCAACTTTTTGAAAAAAAAATTAGGATAATGCTCAAGGCAGATATGAGTCATGACATAGTCACCTTCATCAAAATTTTGAGTGCAACAATGAGCATCAGCTGATAATTTATATTGATCATTACTAAGTGTCAGCTTGCGCTTAATTTCACCATGTAATTCATGATGTGCTAGGGATTCTATAGGTTCAGAAGTACTGGTTGTCATAGGAAGGGGTACCAAGTCATTAGGATTTCAAAAGGGCATTTTCTTGTAGATCGATTGACTAAACTATTAAATGCAAAGTCATCTGTAGGTAAGATTAAATCACAATTCCCTGGCTTATCTCCGACTAGACTTCAAAGTAAGTTACCTAGACTATGATTGGTCACCTTAGTTTAGCCATCAATTTGAGGGTGAAAGGCAAAAGAAATTTGAATTAGGTTTCAAAGAATTTCTAAATTGTCTTACAAAAATAGCTAATAAATTTAATATCTCTATCAAAGATAATAGAAATAGGTAGCCCATACAAGCATACAACTTTTCTAAAGAAGAGCTTGGCTAAGTAGGAAGCATCAATGGTTTTATTGCAAGGTATAAAATGAGCCATCTTTGAAAACCTATCAATGACAACTAAAACAAAGTCATATTGTCGAGCAGTATGGGGTAATCTTAAGACAAAGTCCATGCTAAGATCCTTACAAGTTACATCAGGGATAGGTAAAGGAGTATACCAACCATTTTTTGTTTTCTAACCTTGGAAGCGTGACAAGTGTGACAAAATCTGAGCAATGTCACATCTAAGAGAAGGCCAATAAAATCTATCCTCAATTAAAGCAATAGTTTTATCTCTACCAAAGTGGCTAGCTAATCCTCTTGCATGGAGTTTCCAAATTGGGAAGTCTCTCATATATGTTTAAGGAATACACAACTTAGTGCCACGAAAGAGGAAACCATCAAGATAAGGAAAGATGTATGGTCATGAGAAGATCCATTACCAACTTCATGATAAATGACTTTAAAGTCAAGGCATGAGGTGTAGTCATACTTTAACCTCTTAAAGCCTACAACATTAATACTCATAGTGTGCAAAAGGTTAATCTTATGACTTAAAGCATCTACAACTTTATTCTCAATTCTTGCACGATACTTACAACAAAAGTAAGATCTTAAAGGAATTCAATCCCTTTGGCATATTTGGGGTTTAGATGGCATTAAGAGTTTGTGAACTTAAGAGCCTAATAGTCAAAATACACAACAAATTGTTTAGGGAGGAGATAGTATTTTCAATACTCAAAGGACCTAACTATGGCATAGAATTTCTTGTCATATATGGAATACTTCTACTTAGCTTCATTAAGCTTTTTACTAAAAAAGCTACAAAGTGACCATCTTGACTGAGGACACCTCCAAGAGTGTTATTAACCTAAGCTACATAAAAAAGGTTTCAGGTGAGGCTTAGTCTTGAGGCCAAGTTAAGCTACTCCTTAGCCAGAAATCACATTCCTCTCACTTCCACTATCAATGACTAGTTTGCATGACTTATCTTCACATTTCACAAAGGTGTAAAAGATACTATTCTTTTTTCAAGAGTCTTTAAGTGTAGGGATAGACAAGAGATATTACATTACCCTAAGCTGTCTTGACTCATACTTTTTCGTAATAATTTTTCATCCACATTAAAAGGGCACTCACCAGGATCTACTACTATATCAAGAATAGCCTTAGCAATCATCTCATCCTCTTACAATTCAAGAAGTAATGCATGTAGTGGGCATTTTGATGCTATATAACCCTTATAATGGCATTTGAAACATCCAATGGCTAAGCCATTAGGATAAGAACTAGAACCTAATAGATTCATTAGGTTTTCGTGTATTTCTCCTAAAACTAAAGGTTTGACCAAAACTTGACTTAAGGGAAAAACCTATAGTTCAATCAGTAAGAGGAAGGTTGCAAGTTTATCGAAACTATATGACTTTGTATGGTAGAATGCCTAATAGAAGGGTATTAAGATAAATATTCTATCTTATATGTCATTTATATCGTACCACTCAAAGTAATCATTCAGGTTAGCTAACTAATTTAAGAAAGTAGTCAAATTTAATGCACCATCAAATTCAGGAGTATCTACCTTGACTTTTTTAGTGACGTCCTCTACGCGACCACATCTAAGGACATCTCGACCATACCTAGGGATTGATTCATCATTCCTAAAATGGTCTCCTATGACTTCATTTCCATTTTAAAGATAATCCATATCTTTGAATTAGTTGGTATTAGGTCTACATGGGGATGCTATATGGTGGTTAGTACTAGTATTCATGAAATTGTGTATACCAAGATAAAGTACTCTCTGTGGATCAAGTGTAAAGATAGGTTAGTTTGATATATTACTACTATTAGAGTTTAGTAACAATCTTTCTTTAAGATTTGGATATAGGCTTGCTTTATCTTTACCTGTGTTGTGGTGGCCTAAAAGGTGAACTGCATTTAGGGTTTCTCTGATAAGAGTTCTAAGGTCATCAATCTTAGCACCATTCATAAGAGTTGACTCCCTAATTGAATGGTCCACATACTCTTTAATAGCCCTTTCAAGGTTATGAAAGTTGGTAAGGGTGCTTTCATTATTTTGGGTCATGGTAGACTTTAAGGTTGTAAGTTCTTGGTCAAACAAGTCTTGTTTATCAAAAATGTCTTAAATGGTCATGCAAAGTTAACAAGTATTATATTAATGTGCAGGGTTTAGGGTGGGTCTAATATCCTATTAGATAAAAGGTCCCCAAGTTACCTCTACTAAAGGATGAAGACTTTATTTAACAATTTTAATCCTCTAAGAACTCAAAAACTACTCAGGGATCACACTTCCTAAATAAGTAACAACTTGAATGAAGTCTTCACAGTGACCTCCAAGGGCCTAGAAACCCTTTAAGGAAATTGATAGAAACTTCAACTAACTTAGAGTAAAATTTAACCTGGGTGTAGGGTTGAACTATTTGTGAGGCGATTGCATCCTAGGTTTCTAAATATGAATAATACTGAATACTAAAGCAACAAATTAAAATAGACAATAACTAATATAAATTAAAAGAGCTCAATGATAAAGGAAATAAACTCAAAATGTTATGAAATATGACTCTCTCTTTCTCTCTCTATGCTTTTTTTCCCCTTTTTTTAGCATGGATCAAAGGAAGAATCAAATGAGTAAAGGAAAGTATGGAAAATATAAAAAATAATTAAATAAGAAAATGAAGGGAAGAAAACAAAATAATAACAAAAAGAAGGAAATATGATAGAATGCCTTGAGATGAAGGAAAATGAAGATAATCAATAATAACGAACAAAGAAATTAGGAAACAAAACAAGTAGCAAAAGAACCAAAATAAACACCTCCGTAATATCCAAAAGACCCAAAATTAAAGTTTGGGATCAAAGAACCTTACCAAGAAACTTAAGGACCCTTAAATTATAAACTTATTTCCCAAACCGTTTCTGTATGATAATTATTGGTACTAAAAAGGTAAATTAGGGTGGGTTTAGTAATAGAAGTCGAGTGAGAACCTTGGCTCTAATGCCAATTAATGTGGGAAAGAGAAGGGGGAAGAAAATATAGAAAACAGATAAAGAGATCAATAGAGAGAAGAGAAAACTCAAAGACAAAATAATAAAAATTCTTATTATATTCAATGTATATACAAATCAAATGAGTTGAAATGCTATTTATAAGCATCAACCTAATCCTAAAAGCAAATGCTTGAATATCCTAAAAATTCTAAAAGTAAATAAAAAGATAAAAAGTAATGAAAAGTAATAATAAATGTTAAAAGATAACAATAATTTAAATTAAAATAAAATATATATAATTAATATAAGAAAAAATGTCTTCGATCTTTAAATCTACAATATTTTTATAATATCTTCATTTTTTTAATTTTTTTTTTCCACCACAAAGGCATTTTATAAATATGAAACTCGAGACCCTAAGGCCATGTTTGGTATGTAGGTTTCAATTTGGAGGGATTGAGATTGGGATTGGGATTGGGATTGAGATTGGGATTGGGATTGGGAATAAAGTTTTAAAATTATGTTTGGTATGTAGGAATATTTTGAAGGAATACCTTATTTCATTTTATTTTTTACTTAAATATAAATTATAAAAAGACAAAGATACCCTTAAAAATAATAAAAACAGAAAATAAAAACCAAACGTGATCATATTCATCCCTTTGTCTCGTCATTTCTTCTTCTCACCGATGAACTTCTGCGACGGTGAACTCGAGAGATCTCCGGCTTCCATTTTCGATCGTCGAGCTCCATATTGTGAAGGGTTTCGTTCGCGCCATTCTGATTTCTCTCAGCTCCATCAACTCATATAAGCGCCTTTAAGCCGAAAATGAAGAGCCAAGGAGAGCGTGTCAGGTATGCTTTGAAGCCTTCGGACTCTGCCTTTGATTTACTTCGGACTCTGCCGTTGAGCGGGGAGATGAGCGAGGGGCCCACCTTGGAATCTGAGGTGTCGGTGAAGCTCAGGTACCAGGGCTTGAGGGAGTCGAAGTGATGGGAGACGGTGAAGGAGAAGCGAGAGGAGGAGCAGGAGCCAATCTTGCCCGTCGACTTGAGGGGTCGAATCGGAGGGAGGAGCAGGCTCTCGGGTAAGCCGCCATGTCGTTGAAGTCCAGCGATTCCTCAAAGTCTAAGGACGATACTACCATTGTCGCAGTCGATAACTCCACAAATGCCCGCACTCCCTGCAGCCAATCTTCATGCTCACTTGGTTGGTTGATGTATTTGCAGGTGAAACCTGGTCTTCCTTATTTGGATATCATAAGGTTGCTGAGGGATAATTCTCCTTTGCCAATTGCAGCTTATCAGGTTCTTCTCTGGCTCATTCTATATCTGAATAAGAAATTTTTTGATGAAAAGATTGATCGGATATTTAATTAACTTGGACTAATGCTGTAGTAAGCTGCCTAAAGGTGACTAAAATCTTCTTTTGGTCTCACTATGGTGTGCTACTGATAGTCTTTCTTTTTTGTTTTCTTGAATGGGTTGGGATAAAATGCCTGCTTGATACCTGAAAAGTGAAAACATATTTACGTTCTACTATTTATCTTGTGTGCATAGGTTTATTTATGTGAATTCATAATTTGCACTGCCTATGTTTCTAAGATTGTACTAAGTCGCTGAGTACAATAAGTAGGTCAGAATCAATGTGATTTGATGGATATTGTTGAGGTGGAATATGAGAGCACAGTTTTAAACGCAGAGTCTCAACGCTGCCATTTATCTTTCGCTGCCAATTAATTTCTGTAGTCTCGTGAAACTAAGTAAAAGGATTGAGGGGGAGCATTGTTTATTTATTTAAGAATGTAAAACTTGAAGCTGACTTTAGGATCGATTGAGAAGCACACAAGTGGTGATTGTACTATCTTCCAAGCCGTTAGACTTCCTTTTCTGATTTAGCATATTGCGTGAGGTGCAACTTTATATAGGCTTTTAGACATTTGTAATTATATATAGCTCAAAGTTGAGTATTGAAAGGGAAAAAAAACTCACTTATATTAAATATCTTTAGAAATTCAGCACTATTTATCAGGTAGTGCTGAATCTCTGGCCCTTTAATTGTGCTATGTGCTTATGGTTCCTTTTATAGTTCTTATATGGCGAGAAGGCTTAGTAGAGTAAGGAACAGAACATATATTGCCACTTTGGCTCCTCATTTTACTGTTCTCAAACTTTGATTTGGTTGGTTTGAATTCACAAGTTGTCCATCAATACCAATGCTTGAAATTGAAGTGCCTCAAAGATGTTTGGTGAAATGTCTGACCCAAGAGATGTGATATATCATTACAGTCTTTTACTGCATATATACGAGGTACTTCGTAGTTAATGCCCCATAACCCTGTCATGCTTTCCCCTCTCTCTTCGCTGTTTCGTTTCTAATTATAATAATATATCAGCACCAATTAATTCCTTTTGCCTCTGTCTCTCCCTCTCCCTCTAGTCCATTTACAAGTATATAATCCTCTGTGGGTCTTTCTCTTCTTCTCTGCCCTTCATTTCTTCCATGTTTTTGAGCTTAAACTTGGTTCAATGAGATTGATATTTTTGGTGTGTCTTTTGGTCTTGCCTAGATCTTAGGTCCAACAACACAGTATCTGCAAGGAAGAAGACATTCCTTGTCTCTGATTTGATTGAGGGCAAAAAGAAGAGCTCAAGTGAGCATGAAGATGAAAATGTCAACAGGTGTGCAACTCCAAGAGGTGCCGTTTTAGCCATTCATCTTGTAGCGTAATGACTAGAGACTCATCCCTACTGGTTCAAATCCATTACACAACAGGTAGAATAATAGACAAAGACCCATCTTCCTTGTAGCGTAATGACTAGGATCCTGTGTTAGTGCTCTAAAGATTATGTGTCCAGTATCAGTTGACTTCTTCAGAGATTTTTTGCTTCACTTCATTACTCATGCTTCAAACATGAAATATATTTTATCCTCATTTAAGATTGCATGATATAATTCAAGCATGTTTAGGGTGACAGAATTAGAACAAACTGGTACAAAAAATCTACAAAGAAGTCAATTGGGTCTGAGTCATATTCACTATATACTCAGAGACCAAAAGGGAATTTTAGTCGACCAAAGTGGACAGTACAGTATGATCTTCATATTTGTTTCAGGAAGTTGTATTACTTTGCTTATATATCAATGTAAATTCTGGAAGAAACTAGCGTGTATTACATTCTTCTTCTAGAGTTGAAAAGACCCCGTAAAAGAAAAATGTGATGGAATATATTTCATAAATATTCACAACAGTTTAAAATCACGATACTCCATATGGTTTAAAATCACAGGATTTTTCATAACAGGATTTCTGCAAATAAACATACAAGATGGAAGCTCGCATTCACTTATATGGTTTAAAATCACAGGAGACACTGAAGAAGAGAAAATATTAAGCAGACTTTTATGGAAAAGAGAAGCGAACTGTGGTTGGAAATGCAGGAAATAAGGAGTGAACCTTCAATTGCTCGGCGAGGCATTCTGTTATAGGAAATGAAGCCTTCAGCAGGTTCATCAACTATCCGTGTCATAGTCATCACAGCCGAAGATGAAGCATTCTCAGTGCATTTCCCTTTCTATTTCAAGAGGGGCACTTGGGGGCGAACAGAAACATCCAAAAAAATCCATCAAGAAGCAAGCTTGTGTTCTGTGGCTAAATTAAATGAGGTGTATGTATATATATAATATAGCATTTAGATTTATTTATGAAGTCTGTAGCTATATGGCTCCAATCTAGTGGTTATATCTCTGATTCTGTGGAATTTGCAAGTGTTATATCACAAGTTTTTGTAAATTTTGCAAGTGGTTATAACAGCCATGGATCTTTAAATGTAAGTCTGAACTTGAAGCTATAGTTTCTTTATTTTCCAAGTTTTATGCTGCATCAGTCTCTTCGTCCACCTCATAATTAACATTCAAAAATGAAAATTTCAGTATTGTTATAAAATAAAATCAAATTTTGCAATATTTTGATCAAAACTTCCCCCCTAATTGATAGAATTCCTGATCAAATTCTTTCATTTGATGGCATTTTCATATGGGCAAGGAACCAAGTTGCAACTTTATGATCAAATTAAGCTAGTGTATATATACTTGTATATATACTACTATTATATAAACTTCCAATAGATGCTCTATAAAACATGAAACAAAGGATGTCATTTATCATATCATAATTAATAAGGTCAAGGAAGCAAGATACTCTATATCTTACTTTGAAACAAAATATAGTCAATGGTGCTACTCATATATCCAAGCACCCAAGTAAGATATGCCATATCTTACACAAAAAATTAGACATCTAAACATGACATTACATATAAAGGATCCTCTTGCAACTTTACTAAGGATCACCAAAAAATCGAGATACACCAAAATATCAAGTGACACTAATACTAGCTTATGCTATTATTTCGCGAATCACATCAGCTTTATCCTCTTCAGGCATGGAATAAAAGCCAATTAGCATATTCTCATCACCAATAATCTTCACATATGCCTTGAGACGTTCTTGGTGGGAAAGTCCTTCAACCTTCTTCAACTCAACAAGGAGAGACGACCTCATGCCATCAATACGTTTCTCACGTTCAACTCTATCAAGGTGCATGCCAAAACGCTCAGATGACTCCTTCAACCCATCAGCTAGTGTTTGAACAATCATTTTCATGCCTTCAAGCATGGAAGGTTGAGCTTCAGTGCTGTTTCGCTTCCTCTTTTTCGCTCCGGAAGTTGCATCAGAAGGGGACAGCTCAGTTGGAGAGTTCTCTTGTGGTGAAGTATTGGCATGTGATCCATCCATTTGAGAATCAGTTGGAATGTGCTCAGTAGGAGTATCTTCTACGGGTGAAGTAAACCCATGTTGATCATGAAACTCTTCAACGATATCTTCATACGTTTGAGCATCCTTTCCATTTGCCCTATCCTTCCCAAAGATATTAGATAGCTCATCATAATGGGGGAAAGTCTTGTTTCTCCATTTAGCAGCTTTCTTGTTTACCTGCGACAGAAAAAAACAAATAAACTGCAGAAAGAAACAGCAGAAACTAACAGCCAAAAAACCAGAAAAAATAAATAAATAGCAGAAGTTGAAACAGCAAAAACTGACAGCAAAAAAAACTAGAAAGAACAAATAAGCAGCAGAAACTAACAGCCAAAAAACCAGAAAAAACAAATAAACAGCAGAAATTGAAACAGCAGAAACTGACAGCAAAAAAAACCAGAAAGAACAAATAAGCAGCAGAAAGAAATAGCAGAAACTAACAGCCAAAAAACCAGAAAAAACAAATAAACAGCAGAAATTGAAACAGCAGAAACTGACAGCAAAAAAAACCAGAAAGAACAAATAAGCAGCAGAAAGAAACAGCAGAAACTAACAGCCAAAAAACCAGAAAAAACAAATAAACAGCAGAAATTGAAACAGCAAAAACTGACAGCAAAAAAAACCAGAAAGAACAAATAAGCAGCAGAAAGAAACAGCAGAAACTAACAGCCAAAAAACCAGAAAAAACAAATAAACAGCAGAAATTGAAACAGCAAAAACTGACAGCAAAAAAAACCAGAAATACCAAATAAGCAGCAGAAAGAAACAGCAGAAACTAACAACCAAAAAACCAGAAAAAATAAATAAACAGCAAAAATTGAAACAGCAAATACTGACAGCAAAAAAAACCAGAAAGAACAAATAAGCAGCAGAAAGAAACAGCAGAAACTAACAGCCAAAAAACCAGAAAAAATAAATAAACAGCAAAAATTGAAACAGCAGAAACTGACAGCAAAAAAAACCAGAAAGAACAAATAAGCAGCAGAAAGAAACAGCAGAAACTAACAGCCAAAAAACCAGAAAAAACAAATTTACCTTCACATATTCATCCCAAACAGTCTTGGGAGCTGTCACACATTTCTTTTCAGGGTCCCAACCAAAACCAGATAAATTAAGAAGGTCAGAAACCACACCATAGTTAATTTTTAACTTCTTAACTCTTGACTGAATATGGGGATGGGCTTTAATACCACTTCCAGGTATCAAACCATCAAGCATGTCCTTCAAAGTGTTTAAGACACGTGGCCTTAAACCATTGTCAGATACAAGTTCTCCCTTATCATGTAGCACCATCATGGATTGAATTAATAATTCATCCTCTTCGGGTGTCCACATGTGCTTGTCTGATTTTCCAGACCTACTTGACATGTTTGTTCAGCTAGAAGAAGAAAATGTTAGAACTTGAGAAGAGGTTAAATAACAATAAGACAATATGACAATATATTATTATTAAGGACATAACAATAATACATGTTCTATCATACCATACACCACACTCAAAGAAACAAAGAAAATTAACATATTCAAATAAACAATAATGTTTAAATGAAATAACTAATTCATCTAGATATCCTATTAGAAGAAAAAGTGGTGAACATTTCATTAGCAAGAGTATCCCTAAAGGTAGCCCATTCATCAGAAGCATCCATGTTTTGAATTGGGGTGTTTTCCATCCCGTCCATATCAACACCCATTTCTGGAACTTCATTTTCAAGTGGATCTACACCTTCTTGACGAATTAAGTTGTGTAGGAGGCAACAAGCAATTATAACTCGGTTATGTGTTCGAATGGGATAAAAAGATGCGCTTCTTAGTATAGCCCACCTTAATTTCAAAATACCAAAACACCGCTCAATTACATTTCGTGCAGAAGAGTGTCTCATATTAAAGCACTCTTGTGCACTTCTAGGATGTCGCCCTTCTCTCCATTCACTTAAGTGGTATCTTTGCCCTCTATACGGTGCAAGAAATCCCTTACAGTTGGTGTACCCAGCATCAACCAAGTAATAGTGACCTTGTGGAACCCTCAAGCCATTCCTTCTACTTATGGCATCACGAAGAACCCGTCCATCTGCTGCGGACCCTTCCCACCCAGGCAAAACATATATAAAGAAACCATCTTGTGAGCAAACACCCAACACATTTGTAGTTATCTCTCCTTTCCTATTCCGGTATCTTGCCTTGTCAAGAGAAGGAACTCTTAACTTGATGTGAGTTCCATCCAAGGCGCCTAAACAATTCTATAAAATAGAAAAGTAAAAAAAAGTTAATACAAATTGTTCACACAACTTTCAAAAATAATGATAAATACATAACATATATATTTACCTTAAACCACTTCCACCTTTCGTCGCTAGAGTCATCAGCCACTGGCTCTGGTTTCTTCAACAACATATCTCCAAGTCTCATCATACTAGTAAGTACTGAGTTGAAATGCCTACTAATAGTTTCTCCCGATCTACCAAAGTTATGTTGTATTACTCTATTCTTCACACTGAACCCACAGTTGAATTTATGCCTAAGTAAATGAAGAGAATGCCTATTGATTTCTTGACGTATAGACTAAAGAAAATGAGATTGAGGTTTCCTGAACCCACAGTAGGTATGTACGCAATATCTGCCTCTCATATACATTTTGTATTATTTCTTATGCAATCGGTTCTGTTTTCTTGACAGATGTAATAGGATTCTTGAAAGGGTTTGGCTCTTACAATTTCAAAAAATTTTAAAGATTATGCAGATAAAAACCTACAAACAATCATTTGTGAAGGAGAGGACGGAGCAACAGTACCTGAAGGAAAAGGAAAAGCCAAATACAAAGAAGATGGAAGAAGAATATCGACGAAGGGGGAGGACGGAGCAACAGTACCTAAAGGAAAAGGAAAAGCCAAATACAAAGAAGATGGAAGAAGAATATCGACGAAGGGGGAGGACGGAGCAACAGTACCTGAAGGAAAAGGAAAAGCCAAATACAAAGAAGATGGAAGAAGAATATCGACGAAGGGGAGGACGGAGCAACAGTACCTGAAGGAAAAGGAAAAGCCAAATACAAAGAAGATGGAAGAAGAATATCGACGAAGGGGGAGGACGGAGCAACAGTACCTGAAGGCGCGATGAAGGAGATGGCAACAGGGCAGATCGATGGACGATGGATGAGTCTCTTGCGGCGCCGATGGAGATGCGTTCGACTTGAGGTTTGCAATGCTGATGACTTTTATCAGGGCAAAACTCAACAGGGGCACTATTGTCAAAAAATATTATAACCATAGATAATATTGTCATAAATATTTATAAACCAGGTTTAATTTTTCAGTACCAGGTAGGAGATGGGTTTGTGTAATCCCACCTAAGTAGGTTTCAGCAAACCCAAATAAGAGTCAATGCTTTATATCAAACACATTAAATTGGGCCTTATTCAATGCCAATGCCAAACCCAACCCTTCAATGCTGCATACCAAACATGGCCTAAGAGCTTTGAATAATGCATTGGACCTTTCGGTCAAAAAAAATCATGCATTGGACTTGGTGATATTGAAAAATGATTAGCAATGTTCGAGCTTGTTGGGAATCCATGTCACTAGATGGGGCTCCTGAGTTGCAATTAACAGCAGAATAAGTCTGCCATACCAAATCACTGGGAAGAAATAAGAGGATTTAGACATTAAATACCTTCTTGTTGTTTGTCTTTTTTAGCATTTATACAGAAAACTTGTTGTCGTACATTCTTGTTTTAATGAAGTAACCTTATTTTGATGGACAAATAAGCATTAACACAACAACATTGATTTGCCATCCCAAAATATCCGTACATGCTGCTATGTTTCTTTATAATATACTTTGGACACCCAATAAAAATAAAAACTCATTATCTAATTATAACGCTTAAATTAGCCACCGCACCCAAATTCCCAAAAATAAAAAAAACAAAAACGAGAGGAAAAGAAAAGGAGAAAAAAATAAATCCGGCCCAACCTGACTTTTAGTTGAACAAGGAGGAACTGACCGTACGGCAAAAACGAATGAACAGAACAGACAGAAAAGACTGTTAAAGATTTTCGTACAAAAGTCATATCCGAGACTTCACCCCACTTTGAATGGCTAAACCACCTAACTACAAGGGGGCCAGACATGAGTTCTTGATTAGAGCAACTACATATAAATTGTTGAAAAAGTAACGAGTCTCATATTTGGCTAACTATCCAGATTATAAAGAACAATCCCTGCATTCTAAATTACGGCTTTCAATCCAATCTGGGGGAAAAATCCAAGGGGTTCCCCAATACATAATTGAAAAGAATACATCCTCATGCTCAAAACCCCGTGATTCTACAGTGAACACTGCCTCATTCCCCCGTACATCCACCAGAGGCTTCCTCTAGAAACTTACTGTCTCCAGCAAAAAAACTAGGGAAGTTCTCAGGTTTCAACTCACAGAAAAGCCCTAGTCGCACTTAATGTTTCGGTATATCCTCCTCACAAACAAATTTGAACCAAGATAACCCACCGCCCCTGCACATCATTTGAAGGAACACTTCAGGCCAAACATTCATGTGAAAACAAGATTACTCAACAATAATGGATGATCAATGGGTTGGATCTGAACTCAAAATCCAACCAGAGCTTCAAATGAAACTGAAAATACACATTAAAAGATTATAATAATAAAGTGAAGACTTACCGCAGAGAATTCCAAGTCCGAGACAAAACATCAAAGTGTATCCAAAATAGAAACTAGTTTGGAAGAAGCCTGACATCTTTGTCTTCACATAGTAGTAGTATATTGAATACAGATACACATAAACAGCAGTTGAGGCAGCCGAAAAGAAAGAAGTCCATTGCCAGTGGTAGTTCTCAGCATTTAACAGGAAGTACGTCCCCACAATTGTCACACAAACAGTAACAATAATGAGAATCAGAAACACCAGCAGCATGAAGCCATAGACATAGTACACCTGTCAGCCACATAGGATGGAAATAAAGCACGAATAAGCCAGGTTCAAAACATCAAACACACAAAGCATGCATGTTTACATTACTTTTACTCAAATAAAAATTTGTTTATTTCAAGACTATTAGCCATTTCAAGAAATATTTTTTTGAATAAGGAAACCAGTTTCTCTACTCTATTAGCGAGAAGGAAGATGTTGGCAATATAAAATGAAAACCTGTTACAGACCATTAAACTTTTGGGGTCAAATAGTATCAAAGCTTCTATACCATGCAGTTGAATTTTATTGTTGCCACCCCATTCTTCATAAATAAATTGAAATTTCAACATAGGGTGATGATGTGCTTAATCAAACTTCAAGGCGTGGGGGCATGATAGAAATATGAGACCCTGTCATAGGTCTTCACTTAATAGCTTAAGCTTTTCTGGGATAGAGTGGTTTTTGACCAGAAACCGAAGCTTTCCAACCATAAGCCTAAGAAAATAACTTTGGTACCCACACAATGCATTGGGTTTTGATTCACCTTGTAATTCCAGAAGGATGTAAACACAAAATACATCTCAATGAAAATGCTGCCAAACGGTAGCAGTCCTCCCATCATAGAAACTACAGACGGTGTGAGATACCACTTCTTCTCAGGAATGGGACGGGGGATGGTCTTTACACGACAGGGATTATTTGGGGCGCCACTCCAGTTTCTTCCAACAACTGTACCCAGAAGTGCTAGAGGGAAAGAGATGAAAGCCCAAATGACAAACACAACCACCATTGTGCCAAATGGAATTGCTGCTAGAGACCCATAGAATATAGCAATTGTATTCAAGACAAACCCAATTCCAAAGCACATAAATGGGAAAAGAGATGCTGTGAGAATCATGGATTTGATCCAACTTTTACCTATAAAAAAAAAGGAAAAGGAAAAAGAGTGGTTACAAGCATTCAGAATATAGGTTGCAGTAAAGTCACTAAAACAAGCTTGAGGAGGGATTGCAGCAACTTTTCTTGCAAATGCCCGCTTACCCCCATGTCTTGAGTACATTCCCCCGCTCACATAACCAGAAATGAACGATGTGAGGGCATAACATACAATGAAGGTTGTGACAATTGCTCCTCGCCTGAAACACAAAAAGCATTGAAGGAATTTACGTAACAATGAAGGGGGGAAAAGAAGGGGACAGATAACAGATAGCCAGTCTGACACATAGACTAGGATAATGGATAATCATTAGGATATGCATGCAGCAAATGGCATGAACATAGTTATTTAACACATTTTGTGCACAATCTCACTATCATTAATAAAATTGTTATGCAGAATAATATAACAAGCAGTTTAAGGAATTACATACCCAACATACAACATCCCAACAATAGCCAACAAGATGACAAGAAGAACCAGCAACGCCAGCTGTGCACCAGTGCCAACAACAGCTGAAAGAATAACTAAATTGCGAGGAGGCCGAAAAACATCACCATGCACAAGTTTCCAGCCAGATTCTTCACTAACATCTCTCTCCTGGAAATATTTTCGTTAAAACAAAAATATTGACATTCAGAAACACTTCCCAGGAAGAAATTATATATATATATATTCAATAAACATATGATGAATAAGTCCAAAAGGCATCACCAGGGTTTCCAAATCATCATCTTCTCGTGCATACTTGGCATAATCATTTCTCAAAGTTCGCATTAATATCATTGACACCAATCCAGTGAGAAAGATGACCATCATGAAAGAATTAAAAATGGAAAACCAATGTATCTGCAAAAAGCCAGAGGAACTTAAATTCATTTGTTAACAAAGCCAGGGAAGGAGCCACATGGATGTGATCCCTCAGACAATGAAATATACAACAAATCTGGTCAAGAAATATATACATGCACAACGAAAACGGAATCTGAATGCAAAGTTTGCTACAATCTTTTTAACCTGATGTTCGAAGAAAGGATAATCCAGGTAGACATCAAAGCGACGTCCAAACGTGACATTAGTAGGTTCCCATTTAACAGAATATGTCATGTCCAAAGATCTACTAGCCTCCAGAGGCTTGGGGCTCTCTTGAGTGAGATTCACATGAATAATCTGCAAAATACAGACCCAAGTACATCACCTCATGGCTCCCTAAACTCTTTTCTGATATTAGAATTGGAAAGTATTCAAATAACTACTGACCTGATCCTTATTGTATTTAATGACAATGTTTTTGTGTGTGTAAAGGACATGCTTGCCATTATCACTGTTCTTATCAGGATGCAGCTCCCCAACAAACCCTTAAACATGAATAAAATTACTTAAATTGTGATGAAAAATATTGAAGACAAAATTATATCAATAAATAGAAAGAGATAAGGGCAGTCTTCAGCATACCCCACAATGGTAGATCATCTGAACTTACGTGGATCAGGTCAAATACCAGCCAGCAAATGAGATAGGGCAGTCAACAAGAAAGAGATCAAGTGTAAGTTACTCAGAAAGTGAAAGAGAACTTAGAACAAGAATAATTAAGCAAGATCGCATGCACACACGAGTGTGAGAAAGAGAGAGAGATAAGCAATGAGCAATTCACAGATGAAATCTCCTACGTCACACTATTATGATAATCCAAAAGAAACATGATATTGGTGGCCTTGTACTAAAAAGTTATTAAGAATTATCTAGCACAGGCTTCATGTGATATTTTCTGGCGATTCTAAATAGTGAAGCGCATATAAAAAAGCACCAGAACTATAGACCTTCTGTTTAACTATTAAAATATAAATAGGAACCAAATCACTACGTCCAGGGCTAGGTGTTTCTAAACAAGTCCATGTTAATAGATCATCCACATCAATAAATATAATCCCACTCTCGCAGGATAAAACATCAATCTATTTCCATTTGATTTAAATAATGTCAGACTAAGTAATTTATAATTTTAATTCCAATAACACGAAATTATAGTTTCCTTAAAACAATATCCACCAGAATTCCAGCTAAACATAGGGTAAAAATGCTCATAAATTTACATCTTGCAATCACTGAGAAAGCCACA